TTACCTTAACATGATGCTGCTCCCCAGCAATCCTTTTTAATTATCCAATTTATGAAAACAGTTGTGTATTAATTACAGTACAGTGTATCTTTACTGGCATACTGTAGTATAGTAAGAGACCGTTTGAAAATTCTCAGTTTCTCTAGATATCTCAATTTATTAGCTGTCATGGGTTTGAATAAGATGCTAATTTATTTTAGGTTTAATGATATTACTTTTTTAAAGGTTATGTACAGTAAAAGTCAGAATTATTATCCCCCTTTTGATTCTTTTTTTTTTCTTTTTTTAATATTTCCAAATTATGTTTAACAGAGCAAGAAAATTTTCACAGTATGTCTGATATTTTTTCTTCTGGAGAAAGTCTTGTTTGTTTTATTTCGGCTAGAATAAAAGCAGTTTTTAATTTTTTAAAAAACAATTTTGGGACAAAATTATTAGCCCATTTAAGCTTTTTTTTTCGATAGTCTACAGAACAAACCATTGTTATACAGTAACTTGCCTAATTACCATAACCTACCTAATTCACCTTATTAACCTATTTAAGCCTTTAAATGACACTTTAAGCTGTATAGAAGTGTCTTGAAAAATATCAAGTAAAATATTATTTACTGTCATCATGACAAAGATGAAATAAATCAGTTTTTAGAAATAGGTTTCTAAAACTATTATGCTTAGAAATGTGCTGAAACAATCTTCCCTCTATTAAACAGAAATTGGGGAAAAAATAAACAGGGGTGCTAATAAGTCAGGGGGGGTTATAATTCTGACTTCAACTGTATGTGTTTGTCTCTTTGTGTATACTTGTTTATGTGGTTTATGAGGGCACACATTTGTATAATGAAATGAATATGATGTTAGTATGAGTGTTAAGATGGTTTATAAGGACATGTCTTGTGTCCTTGGAATTCAAAACAAAATCTCGTATCCTTGTAACCCTATGAAGGACATTGTTAGTATTGGATTCTTGCTAAAAAAAAAAAAAAGTGATTGCTGACCCCAAAATTTTAATTTTACAATATGGAAAATTATTTAAAGAAGAATAAAAAATAAAATATCTATACTTAGTAATATATGAATTTCTTCTTTAGCTGTTTGTTGTAATTTTGATTCATGTGCCTAAATGTCTGCGCACAAGATTATTGGAACTAGCAGACTGCAAAGACCACACAGATCTCTGCTGTCTTCAAAATCCAACCCAAACAAAGACTTTCAGAAGACTGGCTGTTACACAAATGATGGATTTAAATGTGTCTTGTTGCTTTCCCCTCTCTGTATGTTGCCTGTGAAGACATCGTTTATTAGATTTCAGACACATTAGTTACATCCGAAACCAGTCGCTTGTTCACTACTTTACTAATCGCTATGTAGTGTATGACAGTTGAGTTGATTAACAAAGTAATTAAAATGGGTGAGCAAATGGGTTATATGCAAAGCGGGTGTTTTTCAGCAACCGATAAACTTTTGGTGAAAGGTTAATGTGATTATTTTCAATTTCATTAGATTCCTTTTACAGTATTGATAATGTAATTTAATTAAAATATGATCTGTAAATAGACTGAAGCAATTATTTAGTTGTTCAAGTGTAGAACAAGACAAAAGACTTTATCTAGCCACCAGCTAGCTCTCTACAACTCTCACAGCGCCTGGCTGCGCCTGGTCAGTACCTGGATGGGAGACCACATGGTTGCTAGGTTGCTGCCAGAAGTGGTGTTAGTGAGGCCAGCAGGGGGTGCTCAAACTGCGGTCTGTGTAGGTCCTACTGCCCCTTTATAGTGATAGGGACTCTATACTGCTCAGTAAGTGCGGTCTTTCAGATGTTAAACCGAGGTCCCGACTCTCTGGTCGTTAAAAATCCGAGGATGTCCTTCGAAAAAGAATAACATCTGCCCACTGGCCTCTGTCTATCATGGCCTCCTAACCCTCCCCATATCCTAATTGGCTTCATCACGTCTCTTTTCCACCAATCAGCTGGTGTGTGGTGTGCGGTCTGGTGCAAAATGGCTGCTGTCGCGTCATCCAGGTGGATGCTGCACACTGGTGGTGGATGAGGAGACTCCTCCCTATTGTGTAAAGCGCTTTGAGTGCCTAAAAAAGCGCTACATAAATATAAGGAATTATTATTATTATTATTTAAACGCAAGCGTCATCAGGAGCAGGCAAGCACAGAATCTCCATTGAAAAAACTGTAAAATAAATGTTCATCTTTCAATAACAAGGTGCAAAAAATTTGAATTATATGTTGTGCTTCTTGTCCACTCTGTGATCCAAAGATGGCAATTTTATAATTGTATGACAGTTCACTGGAATCGCTGAAAAATTAAGGGCCCTATCATACACCCGGCGCAGTGTGGCGCAAGGCATGGCGCAGTAGTCTTTTGGTAGTTTCAGCTTGGCGCAAGAGTCGTTTTGAGGCGTTGCGCTACGCTGTTCAAATAGCAAATGCATTAGCGCTCATTTTTGCGCCCATGGGTGTTCTGGTCTAAAAAGGAAGGTGTTCTGAGGTGGACTGCTGGCACGTTGCTATTTTGAGAATCTATAATAGATTTTTAATTAGACCAAAACTAACCCGGTCTAAACTCCGGCGCAGAGTTGCGCCTCGCTTTTGCACTGCTTAATAGGCACAAGAGAGCAATAGGCAAATATCTTTACATATGAAAAATGTAAATATTAAGGATATATATATATAGGATATAATAAGAATAGATATAGGATATAAATATAAAGGATTCAAATATTACAAAACATATTATTTTCTAGCCTACATAAATATGAAAAACCCCTGCTTTTATGTCTTCTTCATCTCGGGAGGCTTTTTCAGTTTATTCATAACAATTTGCTTTTGTATAATGTTATTATTATTAGCAGTATTATTTATTATATCCATATTTATATTTGTTTTATTAAAAACAAGCTTAGATTTGCCCACCTGTCAATTTTTAGACCATATGGGGCACAGCATGTGTTTTAGGATATAACTCAGGTTTATGAGCACATTTTGCTATTATTATTCATTTATTCGTTTGCTGGAAATAAGAACTGAATTTAGAAATTTCAAACGAATTTTTGAAACAAATATTTGCGCTTAACAAACAAAAGTATTTATTTATAGACTAATTGATGTCTGTGCGTAAAGGTTTCCCCATCCAAGAGCGAAAGTAAAAGTGATCCATTATCTCTCATTCTAACGCAGTAGATGCTCTGTTTAACAATTTTCTGTTAAAAAAACTGTTAACTGTTAACTGTTTGCTTGTGAAATGCTCATTTTTTCCACTTAGACTTACTTTGCGTCCTGTAAATAGCGAATGCGCTCTTGGCGCGAGGCAGCTGGCTCTTAAAGGGAATGGGAGATGAGATTCTAATTGGTTTATTCTCAAAACACACCTATAACTCATTAAGAAAATAAACTCAACCCTTTTAGAACATGCGCCGCGGCGCAAGGCAGATTTCCCGTCCTTAAATTAGCAAAAACGCTTCCTGACATGCCCTGAAAGCGTTTGCGCCCTGCGTTTTGCGCTCTGCGCATGGACTGTCAAAATAGAGCCCTAAAAGTCCTTTTACATATAGCCCGTTCAATCAGTGAAGTAAATAATGTGAGTCAGTCTGTTGTGGATAACATAGTCAACAGTATTCTTAACATAGTATTTCCTTTTTGGAGTTATGACACTGTTCTTAGTAACATATTGTTTGAGAACAAAAACAACTGTTTGTAACACTTGAAATCAGAGGGAACTGGGTAAAAAAGTAGTGAACAAATGTAGGAAATGAAGTTGTTCACTCAAGTTTCAGACAGCTCTATAAATTGAACATCGGTATTCAGAAGCAGTCTGGGGAAATTCAGATCATTGTGCTGCACCTGTTACATTGTGCAGATGATTAACCTTCACAGGTGTGAAAACACATGGCTTTCCATTTTTGGACACACTGATGCAAAGGTCACCAATTGTAATATTCATCTTTTTTTCCCCCCAACCTCATACATAAAGCCTCTAATCAACCAGTATATGGCTAGTGTGGCAAGTGGAGGTTTGAAATGGATTCTGTGGTTGGAATAAGATGCATTTACCTTTTTATATAAATACATAAACAAGTTGTACTAGGCGGACTCAAGGATATTTATTGAAAGAAGCAGCACCCAATCACCAATATTGTAGCTGTTATTTATCTTGGCCTTTTTGTATTGCATGAATTTCAACCTTTACTAGCAGATTAATGGTACACAGCATTTGACAATAGTAGAAAAAACAATTAACATAATCCAAGTAAACAACCCAATATAAATGGGAATCATATTAAGACAATACGGTATTAAGCCTCAATTAAAAATTAAAAAGCTTCTATATAAAATCAAAGTGATGTTGTATTATCAAATGTGTAGCTTTTCAATAGCTGATACAGTTACTAGACCAAACTGTAGTTCTTTGCACTCAAGTTTTTCTAGCCCACATTAACTGTTCAAATTTACTATGTGGGTGTTTTTTATTTTCAGACTGTTTTTTTATTATACGATATTTTGATATTTATGAGGAAAAAAATATATATATATTTTTTTTTTCATTTTTAGAGTTTTATTTTTCATTTAATTTCATTTAGAGAAACTGGATTTATTTAGTTCTTACCCATTTGATTGTGTAAAATGATTTGATGATCAACTTTAGTGTGTATTTGTGAAATTATGCTGTTAAATCATTTTTTTAATACAACATTTCAGAGTCAGCATGGTGTAGCTTCTAATATATTGTAAGTTTAGATATCGCTGCAGCATTTTCAATGCACATATGGTGCCACCATGTGTTTTCATGGATGTTTTTTTTCCTGAATGCGTCAGCTCTTTCTCTGACTCACTCATTCGACACATGGCGCTTTGTGTCACACAGCAAGCGCCATTAGACAGTTGGCTGGAAAACTGTTACATCTTATCAAACACAAAAACAAGGTTTTGTTTGGCATGTTTGACACTTTGCAAGTTCTAACTTCTCTAACACCATTTTCTTGTTTTCCAGAAGCACCAAACAGAAAGGACGCCTTCAGAGAGAGTGCTGACGCTTCGAGAATTAGAAGCACGTAAGTGTCTAGATGATTTCTGAGTGAGGCAAACACTGTCTTTATAAGATTTAAACAAATTCAAAGGCTGTTTATTTTGTTTAAAAGGGTTTGAAGTTGACTATCCACACCTGTTTTTTGGCCCTTACCATTTGTCTCAGATATTTGACGCCTGGAGGAGAACTTTAGTCTTGAAAGTTCTAACTAGTGGAGCCAAAATGTCAGACATTGTACGTTTTGATGAAAAGAGAGCTGTTACTGCTATTAGCTTGAAATTCAATTATATTTTATTATGCTGTCTGTTGTGATCATGCGAGATTGGAACCTTTATGAAGATGAAATGCTAATTGCATTTATGGTACACTTTTGACAGATCTGGACAAGCTGGATAATGAGAAGAATGAGATGAACGATACAGACATTGCTGCGCTACACCACTTTTACTCTCGACATCTCGATTTTCCTGATAATGCAGCACTTACTGAACTTATCGCTCAGGTAAAGTCAGCTGTGATTTTTCCTTTATTTAACTTTACAGAGAATGACTCTCAATTATCTGTTTTTGTTTTGTTATTTTGTATTTTGAAAGCCACAAAGGGTAAGTAAGTGACATTGTAGTCATTTCTTGGTCAACTGTCCAAGGATTATTTTATATTTTATTTATTTAGAAATACAGTTTTAAGCAAAGCGACTTACAAATGAGGATAAAATAAGTGTGAGAGAAGAAGAAATGCATAAATGACAACAATAAATGACAACTCACTACAGAGGTTCCCAAAAATTGGTCATGGCGTACAAGGGCTCTGCATATTTTGCATGTCTCTCAATGGTTTTACACACCTGATTTAGATAAGCAGCTCGATAAAAACTTAATCATCACATTTGCATAGAAGTTACATATCACACAAATTAATATCCTTTGAATTGAAAACAATTTGAGCTGGAATGATGGCAGAATATCCTGTGATGTCCACTCTGCAGGGCACTTATGGTCGAATGGATCAAACCTACAAAATGTGCAGAGCGTCGTTACTTCAAGACCAGAATCTGTGACTACGTTTACATGGTCACTAATAATTTGATTTTAATGCGATTAAGAAAATAATCTGATTAAGAGAATACCATAGTCTAAACAGGGATTTTTGATTAATTTAATTAGATTAAGGTCATAATTGAATTAAAGAGAAATCGAATTAAGACGTGGAGTATGCCCATTTTAGTCACATTATTGAAGTGCATTACAGGCATGTAAACACCTTAATCGAATTATTACTGTCGTGTAGGATTTTCGAGGCATTTTGCAACAGAATAGTCCACACACACACACACACACACACACACGCGGCTGTTTGATACTTTTTGCACATACACAGTCGATATTATTAACCCAGTCAGTGCAGACCACAGACACCTGCATCATGAAATGCAGAGGTTTTTTTCTTCCATTCAGCATGCGCTATGAACTCTTTCAGCAGTTCATAGTTGCATCCGATTCCAATATCTCGTTTGTCATGAAGGGCATGCATGAAGTGTTTGTGAATAAATGTAAAAGTGCCAAACTGCAGTTAAAGTCGACAAATTAAAAATGAAACACCCGAAATTACCTAAAACTCCAGAGGAAATGTAGATAGCACTATGAACCAATGACGATAATCTAATTATGTGCTATAACATGTAAAACGGAATCATGAAAAGAATATTCAAAAAGCATCTCATGTAAACACCTTAATCATATTTTTGTCTTAATTAGATTAAGGCAAATAATTTGATAACTGATGTCCATGTAAACAAAGTCAGTGTCTCATTACCTCAGTTTCCTCCAGAGGAAGTAAAATTGCTTTTAGCAAGTCACATATTGTTTTTGTCAGTGCTTTAAATGTTGTCATGCCTTTTAATAACCTATGAAACAGAGTTGGCAAACAAAAAAAAAAAGATTTAAATAATTGCTTTATGACAATTGAAGCTGAATTAATGATTTAGGAGACGGAGACTGTCAAAAATAGACATAGTGGGAGTCTTTCATTTAATATTTTCAAGGGAAAATGTCCGTGAATACACAAACCAAGATTATTTTTAGTGATGACTTGATATAGTTTGTTATTACTCAGAACTGTTTTATTGAAGGGTTTGTTTTTGAAAAATATTAGGAGGTTAATATTGACAAAATACACGGCAGTTCTACAATCAACTGTATAATTTCCGACATCTTTCAGATTGCAAACAAACCCAATTATATATTGCAAAATTGACCTTGATGGTTTTTTTTTTATGTGTGGCATGCTTTTAAACACCAGGAGAAGCACTGTAATATAATTCTTCCCTCTCTTCACCACAGGTGAACTGTAATGGCTTCACCATTGAAGATGAAGAGCTGTCTCATTTGGGATCTGCTTTATTTCCAGAGTAGGTCTCGCATATTAAAGCATTGGCATGGTTTGTTAAATACATGCTGTTAATTGAGTGTTGTTGTGTGGTAGCGTTGCTCTGATGAATCACAGCTGTAGCCCAAATGTGATTGTGACGTATAAGGGTACAGTGGCAGAAGTGAGAGCCGTGCAGGAGATCAACCCTGAAGAGGAGGTAAGAAGGAAACCAAAACACAAAAGAAAACGCATACAATGTATTGCTTGATGTAGTGTGAAATTTGCTCAAAAGCTTCCAACCTGATCTTATTTGATTCGTTACAGGGTCACGTTCAAGCAGACTATGTTGCTTAGTATCAAGCTGTGCAATTATTTAGTCAATTTGTAATGTAGAAGTTGCATAACATTATCTGGCATAGCCATACTGTGTTTTCTAACACCTTTTTGCATAATCTAGTTGCTAATATCATTGTTGAATATTGTGTGACAATTCTTTTTGTTTCTCTTGAATAGATCTTCAACAGTTATATTGACCTCCTATATCCAACAGAAGATAGAATTGAACGACTGAAAGACTCTTACTTCTTTAATTGTGACTGTAAAGAATGCACCTCAAAATCAAAGGTTAGTGTCGTTCTGTCTATATAATGCATTGTACCATTTCATTCACCTGTTATTTTTCTTGAGTTAAAGGACGCAGATAAACTTTAAACTTTTAAACTTTATGCACGGGTTGACATTAAATCCTGCCTGTGTTTTCGAATAGATTAAAGCTTCAAAATGGAACTCTAAATACATCTCTGTTTGTGCCTTTTGTCAAGTATAATTATAATTTAGCCTATATTTCATCCAAAATACAACTCGGAAGCAAACTAGGTTACTATGTTGGCTTAAAGATATCCCACTGAAAGCTCAAATAAACCTTTCCACCACTTCAGGTCAAATATTGTTTACACTGCATCTACTCAACTTGTAAAAGGTATAAAGAGTTCAGATACAAAAAACTGAGTCATTATATAATCATTACTATAGATGACCCTTCCAAATATGGTCAAAACAAGTTTTTTTTCATTCTAGGGGTAATTTCTGTGATTATAAATGAGCATAAAATTGTGCAGAAATATTAAACTTAACCAAGCCACATACTGTACCTGCTATGTAGATGTCAGATAACAATTATACATATTGAATCAGTGCACTCAATGGCACCTTTTAAATCTAAAATGTTCTTCACAGTTTTATTGATATAAAAAAAAGAAAAAAAATGGGATAGAGCTCATCATTTTAATCACAGTAGAAAAAAAGCGTAACATTTATTACTGTTCTGACCAAAAAAAAGCATGTGCTGAATAAAGAAGTAAAAGTTGATGTTTGTGCAATGCCTTTTCTCTCCTTTTTTTTCCTTTTTTGTAGGATGAAGCCAAAATGGAGATCCGTCAGAAGCTCAGCACACCTCCAGAGGAAGAGGAAATCAAACAGATGGTGATATACGCAAGAAATGTCATTGAGGAGTTCAGGAGAGCAAAGCACTACAAAAATATCCTTAGCTGGTCTTAGTTAAATTCTGCTCTGTGTCTGTCTGTATAAATGTTTACAGTGCTGTGCTATTGGGCAATTTTTGAGTATGAAGCATCTCAGAGGCAATGGTTTATTTTTAGTCTCTGCTTGATGATTTTCCATTTTAGTGAAAACAACATTCCAAAATTCAAAATATTGGGGAAGAAATTATTTTTTAAGAAACTTATATTTAATTAGGATTGTTTCAGTTGTTTCAAATTTCCACAATATTTTGTCAAAATTATAATAACTATTTCTTGAGCAACAATATACAGTGATAATTCACCCGAAAATATACAGTGCATACTGAAAGTATTCATAGCGCTTCACTTTTTAGACCAGGGGTGCTCAATCCTGTTCCTGGAGATCTACCTTCCTGCAGATTTCGATTGCTACCCATATCAAACACACCTGCCTGTAATTATCAAGTGGTGTTCAGGTCCTAATTCATTGGTTCAGGTGTGTTTGATATGGGTAGCAACTGAAATCTGAAGGAAGGTAGATCTCCAGGAACAGGATTGAGCACCCCTGTTTTAGACATTTTTGTTACAGCCTTATTCTAAAATGGATCAAATTCATTTATTTCCTCAAAATTGGAAACATAGGAAATTTATTAAAAATAAAAAACCTGAAAAATCACATGTACATAAGTATTCACAGCCTTTGCTCAATACTTTGTTGATGCACCTTTGGGATCAATTACAATTGAATATGATGCCACAAGCTTGGAATTTTTGCCCATTCCTTTTTGCAGTACCTCTCAAGCTCTATCAGGTTGGATAGGAAGCGACAGTGTATAGCCATTTTCAGATCTATCCAGAGATGTTCAATAGGATTTATGTCTGGGCTTTGGCTGGGCCACTCAAAGACATTCACAGAGTTGTCGTGAAGCCGCTCCATTGATTTTTTGGCAGTGTGTTCTGGGTCATTGTCCTAATAGAAGATGAACCTTTGTCCCAATCTGAGGTCAAGAGCACTCTGAACTAGGTTTTCGTTCAGGATGTCTTTGTACATTGCTGCATTCATTTTTCCTTCTATCCTGACGAGTCTTTCTGTTTCTGCTGCTGAAAAACATCCCCACAGCACAATGCTGCATATTAGCCTGGTGATGAGTGGTGCCTGGTTTTTCTCCAAACGTAACAACTGGCATTCACTCCAGAGTTTGTTTCTTATGGTCTGAGAGTCCTTCAGATGCCTTTTGACAAAGTCCAGTTGGGGACTGGCTTCTGTCTGGCCACTCAACTATGAAGTTCTGATTTGTGGATTGCTGCACAGATGGTTGTCCTATAAGGTTCTCCTCCACAGAAGAACGCTGAAGCTCAGACAGAGTGATCATCGGGTTATTGATCACCTCTCAGACTAAGGCTCTTCTCCCTGAATCACTGAGCTTAGATTGGCGGCCAGCTCTAGGAAGAGTCCTGATAGTTCCAAACATCTTCCACTTACGAATGATGGAGGCCACTGTGCTCTTTGGACCTTTTAGAGCAGCAGAAATGTTTCTGTAACCTTCCCCAGCCTTGTGCCTCGAGACAATCCTGTTTTGGAGGTCTACAGACAATTTGTTTGTCTTTCTTTAAAAAAAAATATTTTTTTCAAATTGTCATTAATGGGGTATTGTGTGTAGAATTTTGAGAAAATAAATTAATTTAATCTATTTTGGAATAAGGCTGTAACATAAAACAATATGGAAAAAGTGAATAGCTATGAATACTTTCTGGATGCACTGTAAATATATTTTTTGTGAGACTCAAACAAATTGTGACTAGTGACTAGTGAAGGGTGGCTGAACAATGTAAGAATATTTTTTTATTGGGTTAACCATAATGCACTTTTTAAAATTGCATTTAAAGAGGTTATTTTACACTGTGATAAAATGATAAAGTATTGTTTAACAAACCAATGCAGCTGTGTTGAGCGTTGTAGACCTACTGAGATACAATTGACTGAGGCGAGACATGATTATGACTGATTTGGTCATGATTATTAGTTTTGATTAAACCTTAAAGTTGTGGTTTTGACGTAAAGTTCCTTGACCTCCAAGCACCCCCCAGTGAATTGTTGGAAATCTGTGAATTAAGCATGGAGAAAATGGGTGCAATCTTCGCCGAAACCAACGTGTACATGCTGCACATGATGTATCAGGCAATGGGTGTCTGTCTCTATATGCAGGATTGGGACGGAGCGATGAAATACGGTGAAAAAATTATCCATCCCTACAGGTAACGTGGTATCCAGGACATTTACACTCAATGTACATTTTTAAAGATAGCATAGTTATTTCTCATTCATTTACTCACTATCAGGTTGTTTGAAACATTAATGATTTAATGAACCAAAGAAGATATTGACAAAAATACAATCAAAGTCAATGGGTTTACATTTTAAATTTTTGTGTGTGTGTGTTCAACTTAATAGAAAGATGCTGATTCAATCATGTACGCATTTTCTCTTTAATTTACAGTATATGTCACTTTTATCTATATCTTTCCAGTGTGCACTACCCTCCATACTCCCTGAATGTGGCTTCAATGTACCTGAAACTGGGACGACTGTATCTAGGACTTGAAAAGAGGACTCAAGGAGTTAAAGCTTTAAAGAAGGTAATGTGTTGGTAGTGCTAATTGCAAAACAATATGAAAATATTAGACGTGGGCGTTTTGAAACCTAAGAGAAAAAACAAACAAAAAACAGGTGCTGTAAATATTTTTTGGTGCATAAACTTGTGTCTGAATTTATCACAGGCTCTCGCAATCATGGACATTGCCCACGGAAAAGACCACCCTTACATCGATGAAATTAAGAAGGAAATGGAAGAGCAGACATAATGGGAGGAATATGCATCAAATGCTGGCATGTGTCTTACATCTCTCATAATGGGAATATAAAAAAAGTGATGTCAAAAATTGTGTTTTCCCAAGAAGTCATCTAAGCGAATTGTAGGTTTGTAAATAGATGGCCTGAGTATGGGATGTTTTGTCGCTTTTTTTGTCTGCACTGAGCAAATGTGCTGAACTGTTTTGTGTAAAGAAGGGCTAAGATTTAAAGAATCATATCATATATGGCAGGTTTTTAAAAGGATACCTTTTTGCCCTCTCATGTAGCAACAACATTATTCAATAGCTAACGAATGTAAGTTATTCTCAATAAGGCGAAAGATTCAGATCACTGGTTCTGTTTTACTTGTCTGTTTGCATGGTTATTGTTTTTGGCGCTGATCAAAGTAGATCATGGATACTGTTAAAATATTGGACTTCCAGTCAATCAGTGCGTTTTATAGTGTTACTTTTGTTTATTAAATGTTTCTTGTTTGTTTAGTATTGTGCAACTTTGACAAGTAGCATGGGCAAAAATGGGGAGGATTTAAAAATAAATAAATAAATGGTGCAGACTGCCACATGCAAAAATGATGAAATTTAATGTTATAACACTAAAGTAATAAATCCCTCAAAACAAACACTGACTTTATGTATTATATTTTGTCGACTATAATTCGATTCAATTCATGTATATCTATATCTCTACATCTGTATTTCTATAGCGCTTCTAGTAAATTGAAACTGTGTCAGTCCAGTTTTCAGTGTTGAAGTTCAGTTCAGTTCAGTTCAGTGTGGTTTAATTTTCACTGCTGGAAGTCCAAATACTGAAGAGCAAATCCATCGATGCACAGCTCCACAAGTCTCAAACCAAGCAAGCCTGTGGTAACAGTGGCAAGGAACCACTTCACCAATTGATGAAAGTGAAGGAAAAGAAAACCTTGAGAGAAACCAGGCTCAGTTGAGCATTTCTCCTTTGGGCAAAGTTCTTGTGCAGAGCTGTCACTGGGTCTTTTAGGAATCAGTCTCATGCTCTCCACTGCTCTATGACTGCCACAGCATCTGCTCTGATATGGCCTGGTCCAGGATTATGTCTACCTTGGCATCCATCATCTCTTCACAGTTCTTGGATCACATCAATGGGGCTGCTATACTGTACTTGAAGACTACTACAAATTTCCTTTTTTTTCTGATGAACAATTTATAGGAATGTTTGACTAAAATGTTTATTTTTTTTATATATAAAACTTCATTGGTCAGAATTTACCATGTGAGGAAGACGACCGAAAATATACTTTATCTGATACCTGTAAACAGGTATTATATCGCCAGGTGGCAGGCACAAAATTCATGACAAAAATACCATATATAAATTGTATTTTACCCACACATCTATCTATCTATCTATCTATCTATCTATCTATCTATCTATCTATCTATCTATCTATCTATCTATCTATCTATCTATCTATCTAGATAGATAGATAGATAGATAGATAGATAGATAGATAGATAGATAGATAGATAGATATGTATATAATGCTGCAAAATACTGTTTATTAACTGTACTCTATATTAACTGTAAATTACTTATCTACTAAAAAAGAGATACGGTTATTTTATTTTTGGTTTTATCAAAACTGAAAAGGCTGATTAAATAAAAGACAAATTAACAAAATGTATTGTTTCATTAGTATTTTAATTTAATATGTGTATTTATTATGTAATGTTTATATATTTATACATTATACTTCAAAAATATGCTATGGAAAAAAATTAATTACATAAACACTGTCTAATAATTCTAAAAAATCTAAATCAGATCCTAAAGAAAGCGGAAATTCTAACAAATTAAGTCATAATGCCCTAAAGGATTTTAAAATCCATATAGGACAAAGTGAAAATCCTAGAAGAAAAGTTCTGAATGTACATTAGAATTTCGAAATCATTTAGGACAAAGTGAAAATCCTGTAAGAAAAATGCTTAATGTCCATTAAAATTTTAGGAATCCATTAAGATCCCATATAGGATCCTAAATGATAAACTGAAATTCCAATAGGATTTTTGACAAGGGAATCATCATTTTTAGAGAGCACAATTCCAATGTTTTAACCAGAGAAGATTTAAAGAATCTATATTTGGAGTAAATTCTTTTGACAAATCATTTAGCTTTAATAGAACTTTTGATTCTCTCATTTCGGGAGGGAAAGCAAAAAACGCTATCAAATGCCACCTAAATGGAATAAATAATTTCACTCAAACCCAGACCTAATAAATCCAGAGAAATGGGGAATTTTCAAGTGGTCTCTTTAATTGAGACATGCAATTGCATCCTTTTTCTTAAATTGTTTCACTGAATACATCTAGTGTCTTCTAATCGTCATCATCTGCTATTGTTTTTGTCATAAGTCTTTGCATAAGCTGTGCTGCATCCTGGCAGTAGCCATGGTGATGCAACCTGGCTCTGAAACCATCTGTTATGACCCGGAGCACGTGTTTGGCGGGGCCCTGTGGAAGAAGAGTGATGCCATTCGCCTCCCCACAGATCACTGCATTCAGGAGCACAACCAGATAACCATTCAGAAGAGCGGAACAGCTATAGATCATTATTACAAATCTGAGGCATTCACTGTAATCAACAATTTGCTCAAAGACACTGCAGGCATAAAACCTTTTTATGAGCCGTTTAATATTAAGATTATGATTTAGGCATTTCGTAAAGTGTTTGAGTTGTTGATTTGTTTGTTTATTTGTTGATATTTCTTTAGTTTTTTTTTTTAAACAAAAACATCCAAAATACATTTTTACGCCTTTCATCGTTTAAAGGCTGCTTTCTTAATGTATTATTATTATTTAACTATTTGTTTATTAATGATTTACTTTTCTTAACAAAACAAAACTTTTATTCTGGCAGATTTTATGGCTGTTTTATATGGAACTGTCCTTATTTACATAATTTGATCAAAATTTCCTGTAAAAAAAAGCAATTTTCAGATATTAGTGCTCGAGTTCTATAATTGACATATTTGCCCATTGTTTATTTGGGGAAATGCATAATTTATTCACTTGCAATGCACTTGCCTTAAACTAGTTTTCTTTTATAATTATGAATATTTTATTGTTGTTTATCTTTTTCTTGCTACTCGTCGGTTGTGTGCATTTTGGATGAGAGTTAATTTATCCATCCTTTCAATTTCGAAATAACAAAACGCAAAAGAATGGGTTGTGGAATTACATTTGAATGGACAGAGCCGTCCAATCAGAGGCCGGTGTCTTTACTCGTCATATCTCAAACGCGCCAATAACAGCGCTGCATTCAGTCAACAACGGAGTTGAACGCTTTTTGAATTTTCGACTGTAGTAACTGAAGAACACGAGAAGAAGACGGTAAGCGTGGATTATCCGTGAGGGGTTTTACTTGAGACCTGGTAAGACTTTATAACGTTATATTTTGTAGAATGCAGATTTCATTGTCACGAGTGAGCTGTGTCCAATGTCTTAAAACAACCTGCAATATTATTGATATCTGTGTTTACATTAGCATTCTCGTGGTTGTTTAAATTTGTATACACTTTACCTTACTTGCATTAAAACGTATGTGATTTAAATTTATGGTGATATTTTTCACTTTGCTCTATGGAAACGATCACGTACCAAAAATAAACATCATGTAGATCTCTATATCCAAAGCGATTTTAAACAGGAAGAAAAGTTGTTTAGGACAAAAAGGAATGTTCGTAATATAACCTTAAGTTGCATTGCCAAGTCTAACTGTTACCTAACTGCTCGATTAGGATGCTAGCTTGGGAGGAGGAAAATGCAGAAAAGTAATTTACATTAAATATAGTTACTAAATCTAAATATTATCTTTTTAAACTAAGGAACACTGTTAGTTTGAATTGGTAATATAAAAATTACAATTTAAGAAGTTGCTACGATACTAATGTACATTCAAAACTGCCTCTCTATTTTTTATTTATTTTAATGAATACCCTTTACACGCAAAGATGAGCTATGTCCAAATTATGTTTTACAATTACGTTAATGTTACAATACTAATTTAAGTGAAATTTCGGTCTGTCATTAATAATTGTGATTTGGCATTCAATTGCATTTTTTTATTTTTAATGAATGATTTTGTTTTACTTGTAAACATAACTTGTGATATTTATTAAATAATCAGTAAAACCACACTTAAATAGAAAAAAATTCAAATAAATAATAATTTAAATACATTTTGTATTCTGTTCTATATTATCAACAGTGTTGTTATTGTTTTCTGCTGTTTTGCTACAGTACTCGTTGTTTGCTTTTTTATTATACAGTCAAGCCCAAAATTATTCATACCATTGGAAAATTCTGACTTTGTTACTTTTATTTAACTAACATGCTTTCTTGACCAGAAATGAACATGCGTTTCCCAAAAGATAATGTGATGATGATCAGTGGCATCATTGTGGATTTCTCAGCTTTTAATTAGTCTACCTTTAAACAAAAAATGACATGACCATAATTATACTTTAGCGATGACAGGTCCTCATTTCCGGTCTAAAAAAACCTTGCTGGTTGAATAAATTACCTTTAAGTCAGAATTTGCCAGGGGTATGAATAATTTCGGCTTGACTGTGTTCTATAATGTTTCATCTGCTTGATATAGAGTTTTATTAAAACAAAGGTCTGCTTTTATTATAAACTTTCATTCATATGTTTTCATAGAAAGCTGTTGACATTTCAGTTATGATTATCGCTCACAAAGGAGTAATGAAGTTGATGCATGAAAATTATTATTAGTAACAAGTCTATCATGCTTTATTGTGCTTGTAAGACCATGAAGTTACATTTACGTTTTTCAGAGTATGCCAGCGTTTCTGTGAACAGCAACACAACATCTTCAATAAACATGAGTTGGGCTGTAGAAGAGTGGAAGGATGGCCTTCCTGCAAAGGCCTTGCAAAAGATCCAAGAAATTGAAGCGCAGCTTGACAAGTTAAAGAAGGAAAGACAACAGAAACAGTTCCAAATGGATTCCCTTGAAGCTACTTTACAGAAACAGAAACAAAAGGTCAGAAACAACGTGGCAGATATTCTCAGCTTTAGCATCTTCACCAGTGCAGTTGTAATATATCAGTAATTGGTTTATTATATTTCCCTACAGATGGACAGTGAGAAGAGTGAAGCCTCTGCCCTGAAGAGAGAGAATCAGTCTTTGGTAGAGTCTTGTGAACATCTAGAAAAGGCCAGACAGAAACTTACACATGACATCCAAACAAAGGAGCAGCAGGTGAATTATCTGGAAGGACAGCTCAACTCTTTCAAGAAACAGACTGATCGACTTGAACAAGAGGTCAAAAAGTAAGTGGAGTACTTGTAATTGTTCATGAGCTGCCAATATACACTTATGCTAATAACCATATTATAACTAAATAATTTAATAGTCTTTTTTTAGATACTGGAATATTCTGCTATCCACATAAAACTATGTTGACATAATTATTATTATTATTTTAATTCAGGTACAAACATGAATTGGAAAGGTCCCAAACTTCACATGCTTCAGAAATCCAACAGCTTAGCACACCGCA